CCCCTTTTCCGCTTTGGCAAATGGCAAACTGTTAGCTTTACCGCTTTCCCTTGTGGCTCCACTTCCTTCTTTACTGCAGGATTGGACTTGTGGTAGAAACTGTCTCAGTCAAGATAAAAGTCAATATCTTCCGTCCAAATCTCTCTTTGTAGGGCTCTTCTTTATCCATTTTGACAATTGCTTGCATAAATCCTTTTCATATAGCCTGTTCCAGGCCTGTTTTGCATGGTCGTTCACCCTGCAGTAGCCCAGTGTAATAACAAGGAAGAAATATAGTCCAAAATTATTACTTAGCATATTGCACGGTCTTGTACATTAAAAAAATAACTAAAAAACATGTCAGCGTTGAACCGATATTGTGAAGACATTCCTGGTGTTTCTTTTTTATACCTTTAGGAAGTCAACCTCAGTTCACTGGCTCTTCAGTGTTCTTTGCATCAGTGTTGTTTTGTCTTTTAGTCTTTAAGGTAAGTTACACAATATGCCAAAGTTTTACTTGGCACTCACCAATGAGAGAACGCCTTTGGGTCTACTGAGGTAGCCTGCGAGTAGGCTCACAATTTGCGGAACGCGCGAGGGGCGAAAGCCGTGAAAACGAGCCGGATTCTTCTCCCGCTCCCGCCCAGACTCCTCGTTTTTGGGAACAGTGGGAACAGTGGTTCATCATGCAACACTTATTTGCGGGGCGATGCGTTGCGTTATAACCATAGGAACTGTTGCGAGCCGGACAGTGTATAGTCTCCTTTGCAGCCTTTATTTGGATGGTCACACAATGCCTGGCAATCCAAATAAGGGCTTTGAAGGAGAGTAGATACCTGAAATACTGGTTTGCGTAGGAAAATTATGACGAACTTTTACATAGTTCATGTATTTCTTTCTTGACTTCACAGACCCAGCTTAGCCAGTTTCTACATAACTATTGGATTTGTAAGAGAAGAGGTGAGGGTTCTTTTTCTGACAAAATATATTTGGGCGAGTCTCATATAAAAATCATGGGTGATCTTCGGAAATTTTTGTCTTGTGGGCGTGGCTCGAATTCATTTTCACTCCCAAAGAGGTACCAATTCTAAATTTATTCTGACATATTTGTTTTCAGCTAAAGGTACTGAATTAACTCTAACGGTGATCATTTTAGATTTAAACACCCTAAGTGGTACGAAGCCATGATTTAATAGGAACAGCGATCTCGATCACTCTGCCACTTTTATATGCACGTTTTCCCCCATCCCCCACACGAAGTTTCACTTTACCTTTTCTCTAAAATCTGGTTTTCTTTTCGTCTCTTTGCAGGAAATGCTAAGACAAGAGGCAGCTGAAGCCATAGCGAAACTAAAGATAAGGAAATACAGGAGAACAGTGAGAGGTTCGCCTTGCTCTACCAGCAAACACACTGAGCAGGAGAGGAGAGATTCAGAAGTGTGTGCTGTTTGTCTGGATGAGTTCCATAACAACCAGGTAAGAGTAATGATGAACAACAAGACCTTTCAGTTCCAAGATAGCTCGAGATGTCAATTCTCCTCACCAAATACCATAAATGTGTTTGCCATCCCTTTTATAGCGGAACTTCTTATTTAATATTAGTTTTGAGAATTTGATGATACTTCAAAGCAATATCCCTAGATAATGATTTTTCAGCCGAACTAAACCATCGGTCAAGTTTAGTTCGACTGCGACGCAATCTGAGTTTTATATAGCTCTTGTATGCCAACAGGGTGGCGCTGGAGCTATTGATTACTTTTAGTTTCATAGGCTTCCATATTTAGAACGGTTTTCTAATGACTGTCAGTGTATTACCAAAACCAAGTAATCACAGTTGCACGGATAGCCTGTAACGGAATGAACCAATCAGAATTCGAAACAATAACATGCAACTTGTACCAAGCGCAGGAAAAGATGCAACCGGCACCTGAAGCGCGGGAAAATGCGCAACTGCTATTGGTCGTGCGCCTGATTGGTTGAAAAACAGCATGTTTGCACATGATTGGTTATAGCCTGCAAAGCTGGCGGTTCTTTGATATCTTAACAATAATGGTGAAGCCACAAAAACGTTTTCGCTGCTTCGCCCCTATTTGTTTTCATTGCACGAGAAGAACCGCCATTTACGCAGACTAAGTGCTTAGAGCCTCTCAAGAGGTTTTTAACCAGTTACAGAGCTGAAAATAGTTGCCTTACTTTCTATTCCAGCTGGTGCGCACACTGCCGTGTGATCACGAGTTCCACTGTGAATGCGTGGATCGTTGGTTAATGGCGAAGAGGACCTGTCCATTGTGTAAAGGAAACATTATAGGTTAGGACTGTGTTCATATTCATCGCCAGGAATTGGCGGCTACTGTTCCTGTGCCATTTACGTATAGCTCCTTCCACACTAGTCTCCTTAGCTGGATAGCCCGCGTTATTTGGGTCATCACGCAACAATCCGTACATTACGAACATTTTCACATCCTATGTGGAATAGTTATACGATCCGTATAACGCGTTGTCAAAATCTTTCCGCGTTTTCATTACATTTTTTTATTTTTTTTTTTGTATTTTTTTATTTTATTAAATATTACTTAATTACAAAAAGGTTACAACACTGAGTTACACTGAATGACACAACGGCGCTATGCAACTCTACGCTAAAAAAAACTACACTACACAATACATTAGCCTAGACAACACACACTAAGCTACACTGTACGAACACCAAAACCTGCAGGAAAAACAAAATATTTGATACTCGAGGGCCGGAGATGGAATACCGAAATGGAACAGAAGTTGTTTTAGACGAGGAGTTATCGTGAGTTATCGTGACATTTAGAGTTTTTTGTGAATTCACCTGGTTGGACAACGAGAAGTGGAAACTCGCCGTGCTAGAGTATCGCCTTAATATTGTTAAATTTAAACATGTATGCAATTAATATATCATTTATTTATTAATTTCACGTTCACATTTGAACCAGCTTATTTTAGCTCCTGGGTGAGACGTGGGCAAATAAAGTATCCTATCCTAAAAGTATCCTATCCTAGTTGCGTACAAGCATTTATTGATACACACTTATTTCGCCATTTTTCTTTCAACAGAGAAACGTTCACGTTTGAACGCAGTTGACAAAATGGGAAGATTCGGCGTAAGCGAGACTTTGGAAAACGAAAGAGTCCATAGGCATTTAGGAACACCGCGGACGTCAACGACAGAGCGTTCCAGTCACAGACACTGTGCTACGTCATCAAACGCTGGTGACCTTCAAAAGGCTGTCTGTAGCGGAAACAAGTTTTGTCGCCGTGCAACACGGATATAAGAACTGCTGGCAACAGGAACTGAAGATAAACTGGGATTCTGACAGATGTGATTTTTTGGGAATTCCGTTGGAAATATTTGGTACTGAATTTGAAACATTCGTGTAATGGGGAAGGGGAACGGTTTTCGAACACTTTCATACATATTTACACGAAATATTGGCAAATACGGCAAGGGAATTGCTTGGTTGTATATTTTATAACTTATTGAACATGGTCTGCAGTAATTCACCTAATAAAGCAGTGAATTTTATGGATCTTTAGTCTTTACCCCTATATTTCAGTTTCACCCCAGACTCCTCACGGTCGGTTAAACCCGGAAGGGCGCGCAAAGCAAGACGGGACGAAATATTCCCCTTCTTCCCATAGCAGTCGCTCGCGTTTCTCACTCGTTTCCAGTTCGCTCTTACCAAAGCAAGTGTCCGTGGAAGAGGCAGTTTGTAATGTAGCCTTTTATTTCTCAAGAACGTTTAGCTATTCGTTTGTACAAATTTCAGTGACAGGTTCTCCAAAATTTGCTACTTGCGAAAAACTGCAAAAATGAACACTAGCACTTGAAGGTATACTCGATAGCTTTCATTTGAATGATAACACTTTAGGACTCAAACGTTAAAGCCATCTTGTACGGCAAAACAAACAGTACCACATGTAAGTAGAGCAACAAATTTTAAGTAGCATACATGTAAGTAATCATAATGCTCAATAAAGTCTTTACTTACAACAACAAAACAAAAAAAAACAAAAACAGTACCACATGAAAGTACTGCTCAATAGCTTTCATTTGAATGTTGAATGGTCACACACTAGGGTTTCATCCACTTACTTAAAAGGACTGGTAGAACCACTCGATGGCTTTCACACACTAGGGTTTCATCCATAGACCTAAAACTGTTTCTTGAATAGGCCAATGCCGCTATAGCTCCTCAGCATTTGATGATTTCTCGACATATCATTGGAAACGTTTCCAATGACTTTCGAAAGTAAACGTGATTTTCTTTGGTTTTTCCAACCTTCCCGAAAAAGCTCACTGAAAAGTTACAAAACTGAAAACCGGGCCCAGGCGCAAAACCAAACCCAATCCTGATTTGGCTCAACGCGTACGACTTTTCCCGCGCTTGTCACCAGCTGTTTTTGTATCGCGTTCTGATTGGTTAATTAATATATCATTTGTAGCCGTGGGAACTGTCTGGCTGCTTATTTTGGTTTCTCTGTTTTGACCGTCATTATAAAAATACCGTCAGTGCTTTAGTTTGGCACTTCAATAACAACACGTCGATATCGCCGCAGCCTTACAAGCGATGTAGATTTGTCAGTTTGTCGTGCCCTTCAACAAACCCGTAAGACACTACCTCTTTGCCAACTAACGTCTTCCTCGTTCACCCGACAACGCTTACCCTTGATCCTCTTCGTTCCCCCTGCACCTTGCTTCCGCAATGCATTACTCCCTGCTCGTGTGCATAGTTAGTGGGCTCCTTTGTTGCGTTTTCAGCGAGTTCTAATCTGCGCAAACAGTACGTAATATACAAGCTAAAGTATCGAGAAAGATGTTAGAGTGCCTTTTCGGCTTAACCCGAGAAATAGTGACTACACTATTAGATACTATTATACACGAATTCCATTGTTTAGTTTTACTAAATGTTAGATGTTGTTTCATGGGTTAAAATAAAATCACTCTAACCAGTCAGTGACACAAGCGACTCGGGAAAAACAAAACGTCCGAGTTCTCCCAATAGGAGTCGAACATGTGACCTTCCACACACCGGTCGGACGCTCTTACCACTGAGCTATAGGAGACTCGTGGGAGCTACAATCTCGGACAAAATCCTTGAAACACGTAGGACCCACCGGCCCTCTCAATGTTGTTCAGTTCGTTGAGTTAAACAATTTAGCGGATCTAGCAACATTGAAAAGGGGAACGGGGTGCCAAAATAGAGAAGTGTTTCAAGGTTTTAGGCCGAGATTGTAGGCCATATAACTAAGCCTTGTATGGCCTATACGTGATAGAGCATCCGACCGGTGTGCGTAAGGTCATTATGGGGTTCGACTCCTGCTGGGAAAATAAGGAAATTTTTTTCCGAGTAGCTTGTGTCAGACTCACTGTCTGATTAACATATTTCTTATATTTCTACCACACTTAATAACATATACCATCATTTCTTTCTAAGGTAAGGCATTTTTATTCGTATATCTTTCGTATTTCTAGCTTCAAGAATATATTCCTCTCAGTAATTCACACAAATTGTAACATGTTTTAGCAGAAATAGGAACTGAACTACCTCAGAAGCCAATACCCTTTTGGGTTGCTACGAGGTACCTATGCGCCATTAATTTAATTGTTGTGTCATTCATCCCACACACATATCGTTTATAGCTCGTTCTTTTCGCTTGTTCTCCGACAATTTGTCATCCTGGAACAAGCTAATAAAACTGCAAGCAATTAAAATAAAAGCTCTTGTGCCCCGGGTGGCTTTTCTATGCTATAATTCCACTGATTGGAATCACACGGTTTGTTTTGTGCTCTCTTTTTGCCAATTTTTTTTATCAATTAATTGCCGGCTCGGCGCACTTTGATTTCTCAGCGTGTGATGCTGGTAAGCCTTTCGGCCTCCCTTGCCGCTAGTTGTTATCAGAGAAAAAAAAACGTTTTCCCTTCTAACTCACGCGCCATCGCCGCACTCAAACAAACCGATAGAAAACGGGAACTTTGTTGAGTGGAGTCTCTTCAAAGATTGTGATCTGAATAATCTGGACTGCAACGCATTTACCGACAGATGGAGCAGGTGGTCCTTCTAAATTGCTCGAGTTCGAACGGGAAGCACAAATAGCGGTGTTTGCCATTGATTTCAACAACATAAAACGGCCGACAATGTTTTTAATTACTCGCGGCTATTTCTAAAATAAACTGTTGTTGTTATGGCGGAGAATTAGACTGCATGCGGTCTCTTTCTTCTTGAGTTCCTTTCTGTCTGAATCTGATTCGAGACTGACCACGCGCGATTCTCGAGTTGTACGTCACGCTGGTACGACCCTGCGTGACCAGACGTTACGATATCTTTGCCGGGCGAAGCCACAGTCACAAATGTCACAGAAACGCAAATTTCAACCCCACAACTTCCAACTTTGTCAGAAGAACTTGAAGCGTAATGCGCAGACGTTTGTAAGAAAACGTTACAAAAAAATGCAGTGGCAAACCAAAATACGAGCCGATAAAGCTGGTGATAACAATTATTAAAATTATTCATGCATATTTGGCGTACAAAGCTTTTATAGTTTCCGAGGATTTCACAAATTTGAGACTGCAGCGGCAGTTTTGGCGGGAACAGCACGCGCGCCGTGCGTTTAACCGCGGTCAAGGACGAGGCAAACCGAGCCGCATACTCTGCAAAATCAGTTGACATCTACTGCCTGGGCCTACTTCGTCTAAGCTACATTGTAGTGTACACACTGTTGTTACTGCATTCGTTCCTTATTCACACAAACCACAAACGAAGCATTTTGTAGTAGCTGAGCACATTTTGTAGCGATGCATGACCTCATCGCTCAGTGCCCGCAGTGCATGGCTTACATCCGCGAAGCACTGGGTACTAGGTATTGCAACAGCTCTGTCTCCTCCGCAGAGTAAAGAAATCGTACAACGGGTAAAATCCCGGGGGGGGGGGGACTCCCATATAAAAGTGACTGGGGTGATCGTAGTACCTTTTAGGAGTTAAAATTTGTGTTTTGGTACCGCTTAGGGTGTTAAAATCTAAAATGACCGCTATTATAATTATTCTAGTACCTTTTAGAGTATTAAGCCGTAAAAAAATAGGATATGAACTAGTTTTGCTTTAGAATTGGTACCTCTTAGGGGTGAAAATGAATCGGAGCCACACCCACAACACAAGATTCTGGTATCTTTTAGGGTTCTTTTCAAAATTTTTGGCGATCAGCCCCGTCACTTTTATATGGGAGCCCCATATGGGGTAAAAGACGTTATGTCCGTCCTCAGTGCGCTTTCACTCCCAGAGCCAGAGTCAAACCTTGAGTCAATCACGATGTTGTTGTACCTTTTGATTCTGTCCGACTGAAACCCTAGTGTGTGACCATTCGAATGAAAGCTATGAGCACTGAGTACTTTCAAGTGGTACTGTTTTTGCAAAATGATAATCAAGATTCTTTCCTTTGTTCTTGGGAGTGTAATCTTTCCTTCTCCCTATTCTCAGCGCATCGATGACCAATTCAACCTTTTCACTGACTTCAATATTAACCGCTATGCAACAATTGAATACCAAATGTTAAGCATCTCGCTCGACCTCGCGCTCTACGTAGCTACTCCGGGAGCTAAGATGCCGCACTGAATAACCGGCGCTATTAACATCTCACGAATTGAAGTGTTTATAGTATCGAGTTAGGGCCTGGCTATAAACGCGGAAACATATATCTTTCGGAAGCCAAAAAAAACTGCTATTCACGCATTCTCGCGCGGCGACTTAATTCCGCCGAAACATTATGTTTCCGAAACAACATTTCTGAAACAATGTTGCATTTGCTTCCAAAACATATTTTGTTACCACAGCGAGCCGGGTTTTCGTGACAAAAACTTCCTCGTTTAGCCATTCCTATAAGAGTTGCCCGAGGCGCCGCCATTCCGACGAAATAATGACGTGTTTTGAATGAAGTGTTTCCTTGTGGGCCACATTTTGGATGCTTTAATTTTCGCAACGTTTGTGTGATATTGCTTACCAACGAGTCTTACAATCATGCCGCGACACTTTAATTCACGTTTTTCATTTACTCAGAGAAATTCAGCTTGATCGAGCAGCACTGGCCGCGGCCGCCGCGGTCATTGTGTTGCGTTCTTGGGCAAGACACTTAACTCTCACAGTGCCTCTCTCCACCCAGGAGTATAAATGGGTACCGGTCGACAAAATGCTGGGGGGTAAACCTGCGATGGACTAGCATCCCATCCAGGAGTAGTAGCAATACTCCTAGTCGGCTTCATGCTACAAAACCGGGATAAGCTCCAGCAGTGTGAGGGACTGTGGGCAATTGTTGGCCCGAGTGCGGCTTTACCTACCTATTTCAAAATACTCAGCGATCGAATCTGAAACTGCTTAGCGCGGGGAATAAGTAGCCACTATTAAATGACTTGAACTTGCTGAGGCCAGATTATGGAGCACCGGTATGCTGACTGAAGATGCTATATGCGCCCTCTGATTAGTCCAATACTGAACTGATAAGCCTTCTCAGGACCTAATGGCTCAACATGCCGGCCCTAACTCCGGTCAGTTAATTCTCAAGCGACTAGGGGTATTGCTACTCCCCCTGGACTGCTGGATGGGATGCTAGTCCATCGCAGGTTATCCCACCCCAGCATTTTTAACTTGTCAGGTTGCCCTAACAAATCGCCTGTATACGTACCCATTTATACTTCTGGTGCCCAAGAACACAACACAAAACCTCAACCCTGAACTCTCGAGTCCAACGCGCTAACAGTTACCACGCCTCCTTGTCAACAGCTGTTAGTGACTATTGTACCAGTAAACCACATGGATATTGCATTTTTGTTTTCATAAAACAGCAATATAACACGTATTATATGGTTTATCGGTTCAATAAACCACGCGGGATGTTGAAGAAAGAGGCGGCTTTCTCTCATAAACAGAACGAATGAATAAACGCGGCCGAACTTTATTATAGTGTCAATAAACACATAGCAGTCCGTCGAGCGCGCGAGAAGCCAAATAAAGCAAGAGGGGAAAAAACGCCGCGCGCTCTCTGTACAGTCAACTCTCGTCCTCGGAACGTAGTTTGGAGTCCGTAATAGTGAGAGTCCACAGTCAATAGCGGAAGTCATTTTCAGTCAAACCTCTAGAGCTTTCGCCAGGTGGAGGGATGGATTTTGTTCGTAATAGCGGATGTCCGTAATAACGGGGTGTCTGTAAGGCGAGAGTTGACTGTATTTCGCTTTTCGCTCGACGGGTTAAGCCGGGGACAGAGGGTCGACGGGCTAAGCGGGAAAGAGGGGCTGCTCACAGTCTAATCAATGGGCGTTTAGCTATTGCACTGAACAGGAAGCCTAGCAGCAAGCTTTAGATAGAGCAGAGTAAAACTGCTAGGCTCTTCAGTGAACATGCAGCAGCAGTTAACTTGATTCGATTGATCAAGAATGGCTACTGATTTTTACTGTCCCAAGAGTGATCAAGTCAATATCTCATTTCTCTTCAGTACAATTTCAATACATAGTCTTTAGACGGGTAAACAGCTGGCAAACACCTTGTCTCAGTTCAGATGGTCCTACTTGCTGTCAAAGAACCCACATCACTATATTCTATAAAAGAGTATAGGAGGCGTACATGGATTTATCAGGTTGGTTGCGGGTGGGGTGAGACCAGTAATGGACTGATAGCGGCTGCCATATGCGCCTTTACATGCTCACGTCCGATCTCAACCATGAGTTCAATTCTAAAGCGCATTTGAACATATGCATATACACATGGAAAATGCTCTCTATAAATTCATTTATACCATTAAATTATAAAGGACTCCAAACTCCAGCTTCTGATCGGTCAATGATAGCGATAAAAAGCTCGATTTTAAGCTGAGAAACAATAAAATGAGGGTTTTCGAAGACTCAAATCTAGGGTTCAGTTTTGAACGAAAGAATGACCAAGTTTGTGCGAAACAAAGAATTTCCAAGTTTGTGCGAAACTTGTGCGAAACAAACTTGGAAATACACCAGGAACATCAGGAAATCCTGCACGGGGTTTTGATGTGTTTTTATCATTTTCCGCAAAAATAACAACACGGCAATC